CCCCCCCCCCCCCCTCATGGCACAGGGATTACTTATCCCAGTCCCCTCCTCTGGCCCGCAGGATCGTCCAAGAGTGGTGTGGCATCTAAAGTGTACGTCATTACTCCGAGCTTGTCCCCACGCTCCGGTGATGGGTGTAGCGAACGATGTGCTTGTTGCATTTCATTTGTACTCGCCGGCGCGCCCGCTCATGACACCTTCCCGCCTATTACGCCAACCCATGACCGATTGCCGCCGCCGCACACCCGTACAGGAAAACTATGAGGCTGGATACAGGGAGAGTGCTCGAGTATTTTTCGAGCGGGAAGAACGCAAGGTGTGAGCATACGTGATATGATTCGTTGTGGGAGACATGAAAACTCAAGCCTCTGGCGCGCAAGGCTATCGGACTGACAAGTGATTTGGTTCTTTGCGGAGGTCTTACCACGTTGATTGTTGCTAAATCCTGCTTTTTTGCTGGAGCAGTGTCCGGTCGCCCCGGTGGTGTAGTTGGTATCTTCGAAAACCTCTAGAGGTCAGCTTAGGGGTTCGACTCCCGACGTAAGGCGGTATCTTGCGCTGTGATTTTTTGGGGTGTTGGATTGGGGGGGGTACTTTGCTTAGCCAAAAAAAAAAAAATTGGGCTGCTTACGCGGAGGAAAATGGCATTTTCCAACAGCCCAAATTATCACAGCCCGAATATTTCCAAGAATCCCGGCGGTCCTGTTAGAACATGGGCTAATTTTCTAACAGCGATCCTGTTGGAATATCGCTGTTAGAAATGGGGGGGGTACCCCCTGGTCACACACCGATCGTGCCAGAACGAGGAACTACACCGTCTGCTGGCCAAACAGAGGCCAGTATCATGAGGCCATGCACAAACCCTCTACAGGTATCTAAAATTCAGGGCGTTCTGCGTCGTGTTGGCCGCACACGAGCCGAAATCGTCAACCCTGCCACATTGCTCTGCTGACGTTCTTGCCTTTGGGCCGAAAAGGGCCGTTTTTGTGCCTGCTGCATGTGTGAACAGTTCAGAACGCACGCCAGAGAGAGGCCTTAAGCCGTCGACATCCGCAAACTGCAGCCAGTGACGTGTGGTCATACTCATACCCTCTGCTCGCGTACCAGAAACAGAGCTTATTGTCCAGTTTTGATTGCACACGGCCTGCAAACGTGAACCAGAGTGTGTTGCGGTGTTTACATTTAGGTATTTTTCTTGTTCAGCCGCGTGTTTGCTCTGTGTGTCACCCGCGACCAGTCAAAAACGCATGCCAGGGAGAGGCCTTTGGCCAACGACATCCACAAACAGCAACCAGTGGCGTGTGGTCATACACATACCCTCTGCTCGCGTCCCAGAAACAGGGCGTATTGTCCAGTTCTGATTGCACACGGCCTGCAAACGTGAACCAAAATGTGGTGCGGTGTTGACTTTTGTTGACGTTCCCTTTTTTTCTGCTGCTCGCTCCGTGTCGATCAGTGTACAACGCATGCCATCAGATAGAGGTCTTTGACCGACGACATCCACAAACTGCAGCCACTGGCGTGCGATGATACACATGCCCCCTGCAGGCGACTCATAAACAGGGCGCTCGGTGTCTTGTTGGTCGCACACGAGCCAAAACCGTGTACTGAAGCATGCTGTGACCCACAACAACATGAACCAGTCTCTTTTTTCCCTTCAGAAAATATATACCTCGAGGAACCGTAAGACGGTCGTTTGGATCTCGATAAATTTTTCCGTACCGGCCACCCCCCCCCCACCGAGAGAAGAAAAAAAAACTTCGAAAAAATCAAGCCGAAATAAACTGCGGATGCAAGCTTTTCTCGCAAAGTGAGCTTAAAAAAATATACCTCGAGGAACGGTAATACGGTCGTGTGGATCTCGATAATTTTTTCCGTACCGGCCACCCCCCCCCACCGAGAGAAAAAAAGAAAACTTCGAAATAATCAAGCCGTCAGAAACCGCCGACGCAAGCTTTTCTTGCAAAGTGAGCTTTTCTCTCGCTTCCGCTCCTGGCGTAGTGGATAGCGGTAGTACGTGTGTACACAGAGGGAAGAGAGTGCTGAAATATTCTCGCGTTTTAACTCGAAGGCAAAGTACCGTAGGAGAGGAGGGTAGAGAGGGGCTCTTGTGTGTGACCACGGGTTGGAGTAGTCTAAACGGCACTATAATAGTGCTGTGAGCGCTGATTAAAAGTGAAAAGGCAAAAAAAAAAGTGTCTGTGCTCCGTGAGCATGTGCTTGGTTTTGAGCTATTCGTGTGAGGGGAAGGTCGTCGGTCGCTCGTCCTGGCTTCATGAGTGCGGTTCCCGCGCTCGAACTCGAGTTCGCCCTTGTCATCTCTCACCTCCGGTTGCGACCCAAACTCCATCGTGCTGCGTGGCACCCCCGTTCCCTTCACCAGAAAAACATTCACGCGATCCTGTTAGAGGAGCTGGAGGCCGAGAGCGAGCACTGGATCAACACACCAGAAGACATCACCGCTAAGATCACCGACGACCTCTGGGAGGTGCCGGGGAACAACACAGCGAAGGGACAGATCAGTATGCCGGATGAGCACCTCTGGCGGTTCTCCGCGGACGTGGGGCTCTACAACCAGGAGGAGGAGGTGGGTGGCTTGTTGCCGCTCTTCGTACAGATTGCTCCCCAATTTCGTGTACTCTTTCTACGTGCTTTGTTACACCGCTGGTCTTACACCAACCTGTCTACCGACCGAGATATGAGCCCATCAGGACGAACAATACGATCTTGTGTTGGTTGCATCTGCTCTTACTCTGGTTTTCGTGTGCCGTTGTGAGTGAAATGCTACCCTAACCCGGTTCAGACAGGCAACGCTGACGATACGCGTCGAGCTACGATCACAATGCTCTAGATCTCGAAGACAAGTTTCCTACAACAGATTGAGCTACACCCTTTGGACAAGTATGCGCCGACCGCAGGATACATGTTCGCAAGACTCTGCTTCCGAAGTAACCTAACAAAAACACCGTTCGCTTGTTGCTTTGTCCAGTCCGTGTCTCACGCGCTGTCTCTTTGCCCTCAGATAAAAATATGCAGATGAAAACACTTCAAACACACAGCAACGAAGCGATGCACACAGCACAATGCTGGGGCGTAGCCCACAACATACAACCCTACCCACCTGCTGCCAGCCGCCGGAATGTTGCATCACCGCTGGAATCAGCTGCGGCACTGATGTTTCGACCGAGGACTCTCTGCACTAGTGCACCCGATATGTTCACAAGAGCGAAACAGGGAAACTCGAGTTTTGTTTGTCACAGACGGCGGAAGCCTGCTTCAACTTGAAATCTCACAAGATTCGCGCTACGCGCCTTAGCTCGACATCGGCATTTGAGACCCGGTCGCCCAAAGCGTGCGGAAATCAGAATGAGAGTTCTACGTGTATCGAAAGCGATGAGAGTTTGAAACGGCGAGGCCGCAATGCAGCACGGTTTTGCCCTTCGGAAGCGGGAAACTCAGTTGGTATTCCTAACCCTTGCGGTTCCTGCCTCTCTATTCCTCTCTCCGTGACGTGGGAACAACCCCCGCCCCCTCCCCTGCCCACTTCCATCGGGCCCCGCAGCCGTCGGAGCGCGACCCCTACCTCCGGTCCCGGATGTACTCCCGCATGCAAGAGATGCACACGGCGGGGACGTACGCAAGAGAGCGCCGCACCCGCTGGGACAACGACACGAGGGGTCTCCTCAAGGAGGCCGACCGACTCCTCCGAAAGAAGCGGCCGGGGCCGCCGGGGTACATGTCGCGGCTGGAGTCGTCGGGCAAGGCGACCCAGTGGAAACCCATGGAGGCGCAATTCGGCGACGAGTGACTCCACACACTCCGGGTGGGCGGGTGGAGCAAGGGACGTCGGCCAGTATGGAGAGGCCGGCGCTCGGTGTGGTGGCGTGCTTTTGAGGGTCAGCCGTTGTGCTGACGGAAATGCTGTAGTTTGACAAGACGGGGTTGGGTGGTATTTTTTAGCACATCGTTCGTGCAACGGTATTATTAGCCTCTGTTGGTCGTTCAGTCTGGCTGGGCCATCAGTAAAGCGGCTCCACTCACTCCGGCCACCCCGTGCGCGTCTTTTTGTCGCAATAACTGCGACCGAGACGGAGCAGGGGTGCCTGGTTGTTTTGGATCGAAACAGGCCTTGCATGCGTCCGTTACTTTGCTGCGTCGCATGTTTTAGGTGAGGAATGTTAGTTCGTGATAGCAGCAGAGTGGACGGAGTAGCCCTTTTTCTGTGTGTGCAGTCATAGCCGACGGGTCCCGGGGCAGCTGGCCATGAGTGTGTCGACTTGCCTTGCGCTCAAAATCAAACTTTCCTCTCGAGTCATCTCCCTCTTGTAGCACCATTTTTCGTGGGAGGCGTACCGGTGAGATGGTTCGATACCACGTAAGCCTTTGATATTCGATGAGAAAATCGTGCTCGAACGGCAGCTAGCTCTGTTTTAGGATTGCTCGTGAAACTGAGTCTGGCCTCGCGGAGCGTGAGGTATCTTTCCTGCTGTACAAAGGATAACAGGTTTTGGCAACGAATCCCAGGAGCATCTCTTCTCGAAAATTAGGTGACGCTATTAGCGCCCCGTACAGCAATAGGGTGATCGCCACCACATCCCGTCCGATCTTGGTCAAGTTACAACGACACGTCATGGACATCGACGTTTGTTTCCGTACGACATCAGTACGAGGCACAAGAGAGCGTGACGTACGCGATTCCGCCCGGGTAATGTCGATGCTTCACTTCCTCCTTGTAGATTTACGGCCAAAAGATGCCCTTCAAACTTGTAAAAATCGGGAAGAACGAATCACCGGAGGCTAGTACCGGGAATCTAAAGCGATGGAAAGGCTTCCTCGTATCAACCCGTAACCAAAACCACAAACCATTGCACTTTGTCGGGACACTGAAATTTCTCGTGTCGGGGGCCGCCGCTATCTATACGTCGAGGAGGCCGAAGCATCCTCTTGACGTCTTCGAGAGTCATCTCCTGCGTCGCCGAAAACGATGGTCGTCTGCGGTCTGTGCCGCAACGCCTCGACCACTCTGTCGCTGCTGCCTAGCCCGTTGTTGCCGTCGATGTGCACTTCTGTCAGCAACGGGAGCAAGGCCAGCTCTTTCGGCAGGGCCGTGAGAGCGTTGTCCGACAGCCGAAGAGTACGAAGGCTGGAGAGAGCGGCCACGCTCGCCGGCAGGTCCTTGAGACCGTTCCCTGTCAACGGCGAAAGCAGGAGAGGCTCAGAAACGAACCGGGCCGTGAGGAGGTAGGCCGACGGCGATTTGTGAGAAGGGGCGGACACCCCCAAGAGCAGCGACAACGGGGGGGTACGTGGTTATCAGACCTGTTTGTACGGGCGTGCAGATTACGTTTCGTTTTGTTGATCGTGCGGAAATCCCCACCCTTCCTATCTCTCTCGGGCTGCAGACATGATTTACCCCGTCAGCGGAGAATCCAGTGGATGGAGATACCCAGCCGGTTTGCATAAGTCCGCCGGAAAGTCTCATGACGGATAGTTAATTTCCGCACAAGGACGGACACACTCAACTCCTTCAACTGCACTCTTGTCTGGGGTCTGCTGTTGCGACAGCGGTTGTACGAGAAAGCACATCGCCCCGGTGGTCTAGTGGGTAGCCTCGCAGCCTGCTAAGGGCCAAGTCATGGGTTCGAGTCCCGACAGAGAGAGTTTTTTTTCTCACTAAATAAATCCTGGTCTAGGATGAAAGCGACGCGCTGCAAAGCTCGTTTGTAAGTAAACCATAATCGACTTCGTAAGACGCGAGGGAAGGGATTGCTGTACCCTTCTCGCGATAAAAATACCCCAGGCATGAACCGCAGGAGGGGGTCCAACCCCCCCCTCCTACGTGACCCCGGTTGGGTCGTCTAGCTAGTAGAAGTGGAGGATAGGGGCCAGAGGGGCAGACGACAGAGTCCAATGATGGGAGAAAAAAAAAAAAAAATGCAGGTCTGGGAGACAAACGCCAACAACACACCCATGTACCATCAACATCCCCAACACTCGAGGCAAAAATCAGCACTCACCACTGACGTCCAGATGCTCCAAGGCCGGCAACTCGAACACTGGTTCCGGCAGGACGCCGAGGTCGTTCTCGGCAACGTCGAGCTCCCTCAGCTTCCCCAGCCGGGACAAGTGGACGGCCAGCCGACAGACGCAGGCCTCGCCTATCTTGGCGCACATGAGGTTGTGGCATACCAGGTCCTCGCTCCTCCTCAGCAGCAGAGAGGTCGTCGTGCTCCCTAGCCGCGCCGCGTCCTTGAGACTCCGCGCGATAACCATGGCCCACTGGGGAAGAAGGGAGATAGACCACTCGTAACCCTGTGTTTGGACAGCGACAAAAAAGTGCAGGAGACAGACAGACCTGATCCATCAGCCCCATGGACCCCTGGTCCGTGACTAAAGCAGTTCTTCGCAGCAGCGGGGGTAATGTTGAACGCCACACACCCGATTGGTGAGAATGTGAGCACAGAGGGAGGGGGGCATTTGCACAACAGAGAGCGCGAAAATGAACGCTTGCACATCGTACTTACGCGATATTTCACGGGACTGTTAGCTTGATATACCTGGTACTCCCCAATGTTTCATAGATGCCACAGCAGGTAGCCAAACAGGCACAGCTATGCACACCACGTGCAGCAGTAGCAACTGCCCTACAACGAGATTATCTACAAGGTGGTACAAACGTGGGTGAAGGGGCCGAGTAGGAATCGAAACAGCAGCTTCACGTCGAGTACACTGAACAGCGTTGCAGACTAGTCTGAACTCCACCCTTGCGAGAGAAGGGCAAAGCTGTCACGAGAGAGAGCAGGGTCAAGGGCGCTGACGTGCATCACCTTCGTGATAAGGATCGTCAGCAGCAGTTCTCGATTGAAACCCGGTCACATTGAGCAGAGGAAGAGAGCGCGTCGGGGAATTGCGCGAGGCTGCTGTTGTTTTGGCCGCCAGAGATCTACGACGAGAGAGGTAGATGGACAGAGAAAGTAGAGCGAGATCTACGAAAGAATGGCATCAACACCAACAAGCTGTGGCCCCACTTGCGCTCCGCTTGCCCGCTGCACGCATCACACACCTCTCTTTGCTTCTCCCTACGTATCACAGCAAGAGTGGCCCTTATATCGACGCTGCTCGGTGTTCGCTCGTGAAAAGCGGGAGTTCACTCCAGTCGGGGAACAACGATGGCGGCAGTAGGCGAGGGCGAAGATAACAAGAGGCACCAGAAGTTCGTCCTCCCGGTGGTGAGCTCACCATCCAACCTTGGTCCATCAAGCCGGCACCGACTTCCGAGCGAACCTGCCACGCCCCAAGCTCCGGTGCTCGTTCAAGGAAGGGCCGGTGAGAGAGCCATCTGTCCGTCCTCCTTTGTAGTGTTCCGTGAAACCGAGAGCGTTCAAGACGCACCATCCGAGAAGATATGCGAGATTCCAAATTGGTTGCATATTCCACGATTCCAACGGCGTCTGATTTCATCCGCTAGCGACACGACAGCAGCAACAACAACAGCTGTGCCCAATGTTGCTCTAGGCTGTAACCGTGAAGCTAGGGAGCGTGGTACCGATGGCCCACCAAGCGCCCGTTGGGACGAGGGAAGAATAAGTTTTCTAGCCCGATGGCCCGAGTGTCACATCTTGTCGCAGTTCCGGCAGTGGCCAAAGCATGTATGATCTGCATCCCGAAGATGGAATCACACGACAGCAGCAGTAGGGTGTCAGCACGTGTTGAGTGGCGCGCTGGAACCACAGAGAAGCCCTTCCCCCCGCCTTCCGTTCTCGAGGGAAGAAGTTGATTGATGAGCGACCAACATCCGCGTGGGTATAAAGAAAGACGGATGCTGCCTGGACGCGCAGATCTACAGCAGTGTAGCACAACCTGTTGGGATCCATACATGCACATGTCTCCGTACTCTTTTTATTAGCCCGCGGAAAGGGATTTGGGCAGCGAACCACGCGTGTGCGCGCAGGTGCGCGTTGTGGCGCATGCACCGTACGAATATGTGCCTGCATTCAAGATGTTGAAGCAACACAATGACGTCAAGAGGGAGAGCATGTTGAGATGGCGACCGTTTGAGTCGCACCCATCCCGTGGGAGGTGTATCGCCTCTCGGATTTCCGAACATAAATTATTTGTCGGGCGCCCTCCTCCGCGACAGCAGCCCACAGGCGCTTCACCGCCCCGACCTACCAACATACCTACCGAGGCTGTTTTCCTTGTCTCTTTTTCAAATCAGAACGGGGTCGAAAAACAGCGCGTTCTCGTATTCACCAGGGATGTGCCGTCGACTCGCTCGAGGTTCCGCCGCGTCTTTCAGGGCTCGCATGCTTTTCCATTTGTTTTGGGGCCGACTTGAGGTCTTTCACTGCTGAGTTCTAGCGCTGTGGTGTATGGAATTTCACACTACTTGGGTCTGTCGCTAGCTATTGGAGACACCTACTACTAGGCGTCAGCGAATCTTCTTGGTGGCACAGACAACCTGTTCGTAACCTCGAACGCTCCATAGCGGCATTGCTCGGCCCAGTTGAGCACGGAACGGAGTGTAATAAAAAGGAGTATTTTGCAGCGATCAACCCGCACCCGCCCAGACGTTTCTCTTCGTTCCATCAACGCAAAAAATCAGGGCCAGTCTCTTTACTACTTGATAGTAGTACCACTGCATAAAATACAAGTACGTGGGAGCAAGAACGAGAGCCACAATAGTGACTGAACCTTGCGTTTGCCCCTTCACCCCGCCGTGTAGATTGCCATTCTGTAGCCGATCACTCCGTGGTTTTCAACCGTGCTTAAAGGGATTCCATCAGATCCTGAAAAGGCAAAAGGTCGACAATGACTTCGACAAGGCATGGGATGTCTTTTGTAACTTCCTTCGTACACCCTTAATTTTCGTAGCAGCTGATGTAGTAAATATATGGCGTTGGAGATGCACTCCCACGCACAATCACACACGTTGGGGTGAGACTCGTGTCAATCAATCGTCTTTGTGTTGCGTCCCCTCTTAACAGGTTTGAGGTAATTGTTGGAATGAAACACAATCTGGACGTTTCCGATCTTGAGATGTCCGGCCTTCCTTCGGTGCCGTGTAGTTATGCTTTTGTTTGCCGGTTGATCAAACGGACGTCTATCATATATTCTCCTTGGCCAGCCGGCAGCGTCGTCGATGCTAACTTCGTAACTGAGGACACCGTACGCGTAACCGAACCCTTCTCTCGTTCCATCCGCGAGAATGTCGCGCCTATACGCGTCCCCGAATCCTTCTTGCGCTCCATCAGCAAATGTCGCTATCACTTGGCACCAACGAACAACGAACTACAAAACATGCCGAACACAGGAAGGAAGGGAAGCATGCACAAGGTGTCTACCCTTTTTGATGCCACCGTTGGTCCCTCCGGTGATATTCACCTCCGTGTGTTGTGTGAAAAGTTTGGGGAGGGCGGCCGAAAAGAGGGATTCTTGAGAAAGATGCGTCATGTGTATAAACAAAACAGGGGAACTCAAAACAGCGTGCCTACATGTACTTCGGGGATTTTTGTCGACTTCACTTAGATGACAATCTCGGGCCACGGAGTTCTGCTCGAATCTGAGCGACTTCTTCCGCCCATGTTTCGATTGTTCCAGACATCGATTGGGAGCCTAGTGTGGCGGAGGGACTTTCACATAAGACTAATTAATGCGGCAGAGGGACATGTAGCCGCGTTACAGCAACTCCCCGTCAACGTGACCTGGAATGTTCGGAAAAGATTTACTGGTACTGCGATACTTCTGTGTGTTTGGGAGTTCCTTCCCTTGAGGCTTTAACCGATGTAATCAGAAGCAGTCCCGAGGTGGGTAGGGGAGGCGTAATGTTCATACACATAGGTCTCCTCGCGAACCGTTCCAGGTGCCGTAGTCGAGCTGCTGGAACCCCTTCCCCTCCAAAAAAAGCATTCACCGTCGCTCCCGTTTCGCGTGGGATTTTATAGTTTTTAATATTTCTACTACATTTGTGAGTTCCCGAACTGTACTTTGTACCACCTCTCCCCCCAGCCCGTCCCTCCCTTGACATCGATCCTGCGGGAACAAATGCTCTTTCCTCTCGAGGACATGCGGTCAATGGTCTGACCGCTCCTAAGGCATGCTAAATATGAGTCCGCCCCCCCCCCTCTTCCCTCCCGCCGACGGCAGGCGGGCCGGTAGACCGCTACCGCGTTGCGTCTAAAAAGTTGTGTCGCGTGGCGAGCGTATTTGGGTGGGCGGCTGTCGTCATCGGGGCGGGCGAGACCGCCCTCGGCGCCGTCGTGTTCAGCAAATGGGTGAGAGAGAAAGATGAGCCATTTATTAATATTTCCGTCTGTCTGTTTCCTGTGTTGGACCACTACCATTCCACGACAGGTTGCTTCGTCCCATGGAACGCAACCCTAGCCGTTCTTCCGCCAGCTGTGACTTGTGTTGGTCCACTTCCGTTCCACGACCCGTTTCTTCGTCCCATGAGACGGCATCCCCGCGTCTGCTGCTGCCTGTGTTGGACCACTACCGTCCCACGACCGGTCGCTTCGTCCCATGGAACGACATCCGTCTCGGTGGCTTGTGTTGGTTCACTACATCTCATGAAACGACGTCGTTCTCCCGCCTGCTGCTGCTTGTGTCGGTCCACCACATATCATGCAACGACATCCCTTCTTCGGCCTAATTCTGCTTGATGTTGGCTCACTCACAGCGGCGAGAGGGGGGCTGGTGGGCAGGTGTGCTAGCGGTCATGCTGGGCATGGCGGGCACGGGCATTACCGCCGACACTCCCGTGGGAACTCCACTCGTGACGCGGCTGGTATGCCTGGGCGTGGCGTCCTTGATAACGAGCCTCGTCACGGCGCTCGCGCTTGATGGCGCCAAATGGCTGAGCATAAAGGTGAGAGGGTTGCTACTACGGGAGTTTGTGAAGGTTGTTGTGCTGTTTTTTTTTTATGTGCATACAAGCACTGTAAAACGAACCGTTCGAGCAATAACCACAGTCGAAGCGCTTTGCTTTTGAGAATACCTACACATACAATCACTACATCGAATCGTTAGAGGCGAGTACAGTCGGAGATTGCTTCTTAATTGGTGACGGGTGTGCGACCACTTACCGCAACATGTCGTGGCGGAGTGTCTCTTGTGCGTTCGTGTTAAATAGTGGGCACGAACAACAGGCGAGTTCAGGCCAGCCTGAGAGCTGACATGCCTGAAGACTGAGGTATCTCTGTGTGTATTTCGCACTTCGAGCGGTCGCCATGGACCTTTTTCTTTCTACGTTCGTCACCTTGACCCGAACGTGAGCTTACTTGCCCTGCGCAACGTCCGGCACGCCGAATGTATGGGGGTGATCATGCTCTCCTGTATCTCGCCGCCGGTGTGCTTTCCTGTTGTTTTTTCGTGCTACCTGCGGCGGGTCTCTGGATCGGGGCTGGCGCGTTTTCTAGGACGTGGAGATGTGCGCTTCTGACGTCCGTTCCGTGTGTCAAGAGTGCACCTGCTCGAGCTCGAACCTTCTGTGGTGAGAAGCAGTATCGCCATCTCACCGCCACATGCATATAGTTTATAGCTTGGGCTGCATGCGTGAGAGGCGCAATCGCTCTCGCTGAACATCATTATCAAACCTTGCCGTTGTGCGGGCGGTCGGCTCATGTCGCCCTCCCCCCCCCCCCCCCCCCCCCCCCCCCCCCCCCCCCCCCCCCCCCCCCCCCCNCCCCCCCCCCCCCCCCCGCGATAACGGGCTACCTTCAGTCCCCCTCCGTGTAAAAGCAAACCCGGCCCCAGCCCTCCTTATCGTTCCCCATGCCGTGACCCCCCCCCAGGGATATGTGCTTCCCGCCCCTCAACGGGAGCTGCGGCGGGATCGAATCTGCCGCCGCGCCGCTGCTCGCGTCCAGCGTCGTCCTCCTCGCCCTGGCACATGTCTCCGCGGTTCTGCTTGCCATCGGCATCAAGGTTAAGTTCCTCGGGGGCGGCGTGGAGGTCGGGGGGGAGCAGGCCCGGCCCGAACCGGCCAAGGCGCCCGGGAAAAGGAGGGCCCCCTACAAGTGCACCGATGGTGCGGAGCCCCCTACCCCGGCCGACGCGCTGCAGCGGCGGCGGCGGCAGCGGGAGCAGCAGCAGGAGGAGGATGGAAGGACGCTGGAGGAGGTGGAGGAGGCCGCGGTGCGCGAGGAGGAGAGGAAAGAGAGTGACACTGCTCCTACTGCTAAGAAGGAAATCCTTACCGGGGCTGAGCCGTGGGCGGTCGGGTACGTGGATCGGTTGGCGGGGGGGGGCAACAAGAAGCGGCGGGATGAGCTCAACAGCAATCCTGGGAAAAAGGGCCAAGGTGACGGCGAGGATGTCTCCCAGTAGCAGCTTGGTGATCTCCGTGGGCGGTGGTCACGGCGGCGATTGCCCTCTCGTGGAACGTTTGGGTGGGCCTTTCCTGACGGCGTTGAGCGGGGGGGTGTAATCATAGTCGTCCATGCCGTAGTCGTTAGGCCATTGACCTCGCATCCCTACAAAGCCGGGACGGAGCACGCCGGGTTCTCACCGGACCAGGCTNTCTCGACCCCGCACAACATGATCTACTTGACCACCATTATGGTTACCGCCAAAAAAAACAGAGGTAAACAAGAAAACGGTAACCTGGTTGCCGAGTTCACGAAGTGAACTGGCTTGTTGTACAACGTCGTTGCCAAGCGGTGAAAACCCAACCCCGATGGCAAACACGACGGCGTTGGGGGGGGGGGTGAATAGCACGCCATGGGTACCACCCTGGTGTAGGGTAGGTGTTCAAAGGTTCACCATACAGCAGGGAAATCCCTTACCCAAGACATGTTGGTGTAGAGCCTTGCGCTTGATTTACGACGCATTTTCACTGTCTTGTGGGGCGACTGTACGTTGAAGGACGTCACAGTTGACAGCATCTTTACGCGAGTAACTTCCGTCGGTCCTGTGGGGTAGGGGGATGGGGCGTTGTTGAGCCTGTAAGTTACTTGTTTTATGTTTGTGCCTTGCAAGAGATCGGCTTGTCGGATTGACCCTGTACCAGTGTTTGCGCGTTAGTGAGATTGCGTGTTTCTTCACACGGGATTATCGAGTCAATCATTCTTCGCGTTCTGAGTTTGCGTGTTTATTCGCACACACACGGGAGCATCGGATCTATCATTCCGCACGGCATGAGGTTGCGTGCACGTTTGCAAAGGAGTTGGCTCACGGGATTATGACCATGGTATGTTTTTCACGGGTAGTACTACGCCGTGTGTTGTCCGCGGAGAGGTGATTGTACGTGATTATGGAACTTACCGCATGATTTTGCGGTGCAGCAAAATTCTGTGTTTCTTTGTCGGAGAGGTGGATTTGCGGGATTTCAACCAGATTAAAATAATGGTGTCATGCGTCCATCCGCGAGAAGTTTGGTGTTTTCTCGCGGAGGAAGGATTGTGTTTTTCCTCCAAAAACATTGCGGTAGAACCTTGATCGATAAAAAAACAGTGGGGAGTGCCGGTGATGACTGTGTACCGAAAAACGAGAGGATTTTAGTGCTGGGACGGGAGTGAAAAGAGATACACGTGCCGTGGTATATATACGTTAGGTACTCACATCGCGATGGTTGTCAGGGGAAGTCGGTAAGGGAAAAAAAATTTTGTTCATCCCGTCCGTGTGGGACTCAGCACTTGTAGGCGGAGTGCACATTTCGTTTCGGCTGTTTCGTCGCCAAGCGGCTGTTCACGCAGCACGGGTTGACTTGACTTTTCGCATGTTGTGACGCAGGTGGGCGATCCATCATCGATCTTGATCGTTTCTGGGTACTCCCAAAGCTTGAGCCCTTTGGCAAGCAGCAGCAAGCACGAGTGCGTAGAGCAGGATTAGCGTAGTGTATGAAAGCAACGTGAGGGCATTTCGGAAATCGCGGTTGTGTCGTTGTATGCTGTTAGAGTGAGCACATGCATGGTGTCCGCTAGCCCCCTCTGGTTTTCACTGACAATCTGAGGCATGCATCCCCGTCTTGGATGGAAGTACCCCCACCAATTTGTGTAGCAAGGGTCAGCGCCTTTGGTGGCTTTCGTGGAAGATTCCAGCCAAAGATCCCCCCCCCAGACATGCTTCTGTTCCCGACGCCGCCCTCCGGCGTTAGTTAGCGGCTGCTGGGAGAGAAGCGTCCCCGTCATGTAGGAACGGCGATGTGGTCTAGAGGCAGACGAAGTAACACTCTTGTTGCGGCATAGAGACGCGTGATGTCGATCGAGCTGCAGCAATTCATTTTGAGTCTGCCGTGTTGGCTGTCGAGTGTGGATGGATGTAGACGAAGCGGCGCGTCGCGTCTGCTTTGGCCGTTGGTTGTTCGCGTGATACAGTAGTGATGATTACGAGGAGGAACTCGTGCATTTTCGATGCGCCTTCGATGGAATCTTGCCGTTGATGTTGTCGCCCGTCGGGGTGCGTGTGTGTCTGGAATAACTACCGAAATAATTCGGTCGGTCGTAGGTAATGCCGAGCACGGCTTGCGCAGCGCGTGTTCAAGCGAGCAACAAAGGGTGAGAAGCATAGGTTTCTGTGGAGGATGAGATTTGGGGGCGTCTTTTCGGCCAGCGGATTGAGTGCACTGACTGGTGGTTGCATCACCAGGCGGTAAAATGGACGAACGAATCTGATGGGTACTCGTGTTGTTGTGGCCTGTGTGTTTCGTGTTGGTTGGGGTCTGTCTCCGTTCTGCCTGTTGTCGGCGCGGATATATATCCGTTGGTGACGTCATGCGGCCTTCAAGTATCGGGATTGTGGCATCATGTCCTACGGTCTTGTGACCCGATGCCGTTTTGACGGGTGTTCTTGTGTTGCTTTTGGCTTGTGGGAGTATCGCCCTAAAAACACGGTCAGAGGGACCGCTAGCAGGGAGGGAGGGATTCGGTGAACCACGTTTTTGGTGTAACTTCGTGTAAAAAGGTACTGTTGTCGTGTTGCGGAATTTCCTCTCGGCGTTCAAGAGGCTGCAGAGCAAATACTGGTAGACTTTATGGTACATGTTGCGGTATTCTTCGTGAGTACTAAATAAACGTTCGCTGATTACATATACCGTCTGTGTCTCAGTCAAGTGGTCGGCCGCGGCTCCTGTGTGTGATGGGTCTGAGAGTCGGGCGTCGAGTAGGGAGGGAGTAGATGTTGCTGTTGGAAGTAGAACAAGCAAACGCGACTAGTCTACAAGTCTAAGGGGAAATCACATATATCTATGTGACCAACAGCCCGCAGTGTATTGACTCGATCGGCGTAGACCCTTCCTGTGTGGAGCGTCGTTCTTACCGGCATACATAAGTTGAGTAGAAAAGGTTTTGTGGCACGCAACCTTGTTGTTATCCGTTCGTGATATACTCACATTCGAACGGGATGTGGTGGAGTCTTTCCAGTAAGTGGAGGAAAACCGGCTGTTGTTATGCTGCCTCTCGCCCATATTCCTCGCGGTGGCTGAGAGCAACCTTCCAAAATACCTTGCTGGCACGCAGTATTATTATGCGAGAGAATTCAGGATGATACGTGCATACTCCCCTTCCTCCCCTCGCTGCATCGGCAAGCTTTTCCGTAGGCATGACCCATAGCCAGGGGGGAGGTGTACACATAGTCGTGCATGCCGTAGTCGTTAGACCATTGACCTCGCATCCCTACAAAGCCGGGACGGAGCACGCCGGGTTCTCACCGGACCAGGCTCTCACATC